GATTTCAAATTTGGATTCATCAGTCCATAATACCTTCTTCCGGTCTTCAGTAGTCCAACTGTGGTGTTTCATGGCCCAGGCAAGCCTCTTTCTCTTACTCTGACGTCATAGCAGTGGCTTTCTTGCTGCAACTCCTCCTGTCAAACCTGCAGCTCGAAGTCTTCTCTTCACAGTTGAAACTGAGACTTGCTTTCTACGACCACTATTAAGCTGTGCTTGAAGCTGTTGTCCTGTGAGCTGCCTATCACAAAAGCTGTTAACTCCAGAAACTTGTCCTCTGATGCAGTTGTGGCTTTGGGTGTGCCAGACATCTTCCTGTCAAGAGTTTGCCCCAGTTTCTGAGTGCCTTTTGATGGTGAAGGAAGCTGTACTCACTAACACCTTGACTTCCTTTGCAATTTCTCTGTAGGAAATACCTACATTTTGAAGTGGTCTGTCTCTCTTCCATTGTTAATTGCCTTCTTCTCACCCTTTTTGTAGCAAAACACCATTATCTGCAGTACAATACTGTTTAACTGATGCTCATCAGGGTATGGTACCATAGTATGTTCCAACACTATGCATACAGAGGAGGTTGTAAGTAATCCAGAAAAGTTGGAACACCTATTAGTAGCACCAGCTTTCAAGGCTTGATCAACCTCTTTTGCTGCAGAGCAGCTGTGTTCCCTAAAAACGACCATTTTGTATAATTCTGAAATGTACCTACATTTTAGGTTTTGAGTACCCTTACCTCTTTTAAAATTCTGGCAGTTCACCATTTAACTTTGTACCATGTCAAGCTATTCATTGGACTTGAATGACTTAAACTACAATAAATAACTGGAAAAATTGGGGCGTTCTAAAACATTTGACCGGTAGTGTACACACACACACACACACACACACACACACACACACACACACACACACACACACAATATTGCTATACTATGTTAGAACGTTGTTAAGAGGTATGAAACATTGTTTTACTTCTACTTGTTATGTCTGCTTTTTCAATAACTTCTCTGAGTGTACACCAAATGGAAAAACATTTCTTAATCAATGACATCACCATCAAATACCAGCATTTAAATCTGTCAAGGCATTTAACAAAAGAGCTGATAAGATAAAACCACTTTTTCTCTACAGTTCTGCATTTAGTTATTTTTATCAGCCCAGCTTGCTTACGCAAACACAATTATAGCTTTGTCTCCTCTTGAGGTTGTGTGTACAATATTTAGACTAATCCTGAAAAGCTTTGACATTGTTCTTGTACTGGTGGAATTTGATTGAATCAGAACGACAGCATCAAATGAGAGATTCTTGGCCCATCAACAGTTTTCTTCCTCAAAGCAGTATTAGTGGCTCCATTAAAATCCTGTCACCCCTTTTCCTTCATGGCTCTCAGTAGCTTTTGAAGAGAGGGGAAGTCACAGTCATTCAAATACTAAGTGACTTAAACCCCTTCTTTCCACCGGAGCCGTCAGCAGCACGTTACTGCAGCAGCACGTCATAGCTGCTGATAGGAACCGCTGTGGTCAACAGAACCTTTTCTACCAGAGCCGTCAGCAGCCGTCAGCAGCGTGAGTCGGCTGCGTCTCAGGAGCAGCATGTCGCGGCCCTTACGCACCGGTTCTATTTTCTACGCGTGACGCCTCTGAAACGGGTCAAGTTCGACATTTTTGGGGAAGGAAAGACAGAAAATTGGACGCAGAAACGGAGCAAAGCTCCCGAGATTTTCAGAATAAAGAAACGTACTGCCTTCTGGTTGCTTTACTTTAAAAAAAAGTTACTAACTGTGCGGCCCTGTGAGAAGTTATCACCTAGCTAGCGGTCTCCTTTGTTTTTCAGGTCCGTATTGGCGATTATAAAATGGACAGAACATAAAACACAAACCTTTTGGAGCCATGTTGTAGTTTTCTACTGCTTCTTGTTGTGTTTACTGACGAAGTCACTCGTGTGACTTGGTGCTCGGCCGGCGACAGCTGCTCCCCTGCTGCTACGAGTCTCATGGGAAGGGCCAAGCAGCAGCTTACGCGAGCAAGACGTGCTGCTGCAGTAACGTGCTGCTGACTGCTCCGGTGGAAAGAAGGGGTTACACTCCTTTGAACATTAGAAAAGAAAAAAAAAAAAGAACTGTTACATCAGGTACTACGGAAGAGGAGGGAAACCGAAAAGAAAAGAAAGAGAATTCAGATTTTTCTCTCTGAATTCTGACTTTAACCCATTCACTGCCAGCCGTTTCCTGATCGCTAAAAGCCTTCGCTGCCAGCGTTTCTCGCCATTTTTACTGTTTATTTAAGAGTCACAGAATGTTGCGCGCTAGGAAGATGTCAATGCCAAAACAACCAAAGCAAAGCGGAGACTCACCTCTTAAATCAGGAAAAATATGCGTTTCGAGTGTTATCCGTTCTTTCATAATCTGTTGTCGAATTGTGATCTTTTCCGGTTTGCGCCTCACTTTTTTTTTTTACAGGAACGGCCCAAAACGATCTCCTAACACATGGATTTTCTGCTTCCTGATCACGTGACGTGTGCGGATTAAGATCGGCTTCAGAGCTGAGATATTTTTTCACTCGGCGCGTGGGCTCGTTCCGACGCCCAAACAGTAAAAAAATGCAAATGACGACTTTTGATCATCTCTGGAAATATATATCAAAATGTTGTTGAAAATGAATTAAATTATGTCAAATTGTTGAAAAATATTGGTGGCTTCCTAATATTTAACCATAAAAATCGGGTCTAAAATACATGGGAGCAGTTCTAAGCCCCTTGATGATGCCACATTAGACACGTTTCCTTCTACATGAGCTCATAAGGACTAAACACATTGTACTCATTCAAAAATTGCACTCCCAGGGATTTTTGACCCTAATGGCCATCAATTGGTAAAGTCTTACTAAAAAACAAAAGTACTTCTTGCTTGCAATGACTTAGGTATGTACTGCCCCCAATCACCACGGAAAATACACACTGTCACTTTAACAGTTATGAAATCATCCAACTTGTTTTGCAAGAAAGGCTGTCGTTTTAGTGTCCCGGAAACTGCAGAGCACATCTTGGTTAGTAGAAGCTTACCATTATAGCTTTAGCTGCTCCACAACATTGCAGAACTCCTTCGAGCTTATGTTAATTGTGGAGATAAAACATCAACGCTTCAAAAGCAAACAGAGTCAGTTGTAGAGTCACGTTGCTGTTAGCCAATCAGAAACGAGAGGTCAGAATATCTGGAAATCTTGTCGTCTTCTGCTCACCTCTGCTCTGGCTCAATTTTAGCTCCTGAAAAAGGAGATTGACTCAAAAGGCATTAATTCATACCAGAGACCACTGCAAATATATTGAAAAAAAAAAGAACTTGGTCATAAAAGAATTTGGTGGAGCTTTAGCAACAGAAATATTTATTATCCTGTCCATTTTATCACTGGCCCTCTTTTTTTCATAGGTCACAGATGGAGGTACCATCAAGCAGAAAATCTTCACGTATGATGCCATGTTTAACACAAACTACTCCCATATGGAGGACTACCGCAGACGTGAAGACCTCGTGTACCAGTCAACTGTACGGTAAGCCTCAACTTTGAGTTGAATTAAAGAGGATCAAATATACATTGTATGGTTCAACTAACTTCATATTTCGACATGTTCTTGATTATGTAAATCTAACTGTACAAACATAAACCAGTTCAGCAATATGCAGCTTCCATCTTGACCATCTGCTGTACTCAGACAAGACCAGGATGAATTGACGGGGTGATGGGGTCAATGTATTACGACACAGAAGTGGAGGCCATAGCAAACACTAATCAGCAGCTCATCTTGAGATGAGGAATTCAGTTCCATTTTTGTTTTTTTTTTAAACACGGATAAGGTTTTTCTTTACCTTGCTGATGGTTTCGTTTGCGGCTGCAAACATCTTTAGAGCTGACGCTGATGGTGGCGTCACTTCCTACTCCATTTATCCGTGGGCAGCAGAGGATGTTGTCGCCCTCTGCTGCCCGCTCTCCCCTCTCAGATGATGCAGTCCCATGCGCGGTCCAATGAGTAAGCTCCATCGTCTCTGTTCATGGTCCCACATCCACGTCTCCTTATCTCTATAGCTTTCTTTATCCATCTTTTGTATTTCTGTTGTTTGGTGTTTATGATCCTTGTGTTGTCCCAGTCCATTATATGGTTTTCTCTTGTGCAGTGATCTGTTACGGCTGATTTCTTTTTGTACTTTCTGCTTCTTGTTTGGCTGCTCTTGTGCGTCTTTGACTTGTTTCTTTCTCACACTCCTTTCTATTGTTTAGTTAACATATGTTCAGAATGCACCTATTTTAACCTAGGTGGTGAATTTTATGATAGATTTCTGCCAATGAATCAATTGGAACAACTGCAGCCTAATTTTTAAATAAAAAAGTTTAAATAACATCTGAGATTTTCAAATTTCCTTTTTGCTTCTAAATAAAAAATGTGAAAATGATTTTAGTGATGCATGCATTCTATCTCTGGCACGTCATCGTGCAGATCATCCCCTGCCACACCAGTTTCAGATGTCTCTTTAGGCCTGTTTCCATTATCGGAAATTCCGAGTAATTTTACTAGACCTTTGCGGCATGCACCATTTTCCGGGCCAGGTAAGTACCTCATCTAGGATATGAACACGAGTTGTTACCAAACATCAGGTATGTTTAAAATCGGAAGAGTTGCTGGTGGAGTGGAGCAGAAAGAAAGGAAAACAAGCAGTGCTTGAAATCAGCTATTTCTAAACTCCTAATAGCCTTACATTTGGAAGGACCCCCCCCCCCCCCCCCCCCCCACACACACACACACACACACACACGCACTTAAGTCAAAAATGCCATTTTGTGGTCTTACAGAGTACAGTAAAAATGGCACTTCTTCAGGTTTGTGAACGCTGCCCTGAGTCACACCACCACTTTCCTGATACCCAGATCAGATCAAATGACAGCATACTAGAGTGACAGTGGCAGAGAACTTAGGTGCCCGCCCCAAAACCGAAGGGTTTGCAGGTTCAAGCCCCGCTCAATCTGTCACTGTCGTGTCCTTGGGCAAGATGCTTAACCTGCCTTGCCTGATGGTGGTGGTCAGGGGGAACATTGGCACTAGTGTTTGTCTGTGTATCCAGAGGCAGAATCTCAAAAAGGCTGATATGCTCCAGGGCCGGTGGATGTGCACCGGGTTGTTTTTTGGCACTCCTGCACCTTCGCAGGATTGATTAGACTGCAGCAACGATGAGCCTCTTCTTACCCTCTCTGTGAAGTTAATGCAAAGGGCCCTACAAACAGTGTATCCCCCCCACCCCAGTTCAAGATGGGGTTTGCTTTCACCAAATGTTTCAACCCCTCCAAAAAACACAGCTCTTGAAGGGCTTTAGGGCCCTAGACAGCACTATATTAATACAAACATGGCGGTAGATTCACCACATGAACAGTTTCATCTGGTTACAGACAGGAGAGAGCAGAGGAAAACAGTCTTGGAAGGAGAAGTAATTTGGTGTTGATTGGCTTTCCGACACGAACAGTGCATTCTCAGAACTGCTTTCTTTTACCAATACAGCTGCCAAACTTTTTAACACACTGTTCTGGCAATTGTCATTTTGCAGATGTTGTGATTTAAATGTTGTGCAACAGAAATTATTTTCGCCGATTAATCTATACAAATCTAGAAAACTTTGTACGTTGCATTCTTTTGATTATATCCAACTTGGTCAACATTTTCTTTCATCTTATTTTCATCCATTTTTTTTCTTTCAATTTGAAATTCATCCATTTATTACTTGTATTTTTTTTCGTCCTTTTTCATCTCTTTGTTTTTGTGTGGTGTGGCTGCCCAGCTGAAGATGATTTATCTGGACAATCCTACTATCCCTTTGGGAGAGTGAGCATTGGTTGCACGGGAATTGTGTACACACTCAGATACATGGAAGCACGACTGCACACTCCAACAGAAGACATAACCCCCCACACACAGACACACTTGCATGACAGAGTGTGGAATAAACACAGATCAGTACAATGCTAGGTTTACCTGCGCCAGTTGTGTTTCAGAATGTATTTGCTAATAAATATTGAGATAAAATTGTTTGTGTGTCTATAAATATATATATATATATATTTATGCTTCTTTTTTTAATGGTTTCTTGGTCACTTGAGGTGAATCGCTGATGTACAACATTGCTGAAAAATCCATAGTGAACATTTTTTCATCCGCCTGAGGAATGACTTTTGTGAACAAACATCAATGGTTTGACTGTCCCTTCATAGGGGGAATAACATGAAGTACATCAATTTTGAAAATATGAAAAACGTTTACTCAGAAAATGTGTTGCTTTTTCTCTCTCAATATTTTCTCTTGCAAATATGCAGTTCCATAATTAAATGTTTGAATGGTGACATTGATCACCTGAAAATGCTCTTTCTGCCTATTTATCTTTTATAAGAGTCGTTGCTTATTGCCAAAAGAATGGGAGCAGCTGTAACTCCCTCTGGTTTTGAGTGTCAATACATAGATTTGTCCTTGTGGGAGAATTTTTTTTTAAATAAATAAATAAAATATCTTGCATGTGACACTGGAATTCTGAAGGAATTCTGGTATTCAAGCATTGATTTGTTTTTATTTTCTCACCTTTGTAAATGAAGCTTAATTGGTAATGAAAGATGAAAGCTACACATAAAGGGCAAGTGTGAGTTTAGTTTCTATGATACAGAAACTCAGACACTTCAGCATTAAGTGTTAATGAGTGGGTGTGAATGCACAAAAATGTTCCGTCAAATTTGTGCTCCTCACCTTCTCTTAAATATTTCACTTAGGCATTATCCATCAACAGTATTTTTCACTTAATTTCAAACATTGAAGAAAATGTGTGGTCTTAATCCCACATATGATTTTTCTTTTTCATATTCCTAATTTTTATTATTTTTTGTTTACACTCTTCCCAATCTCAGGCAGTTTATAAATATACTTCTTCACTTGTTTAGTCATACGGAAATAATGTTGTTAGACATAATCATGCCTGTAATTACCTTGCAACCTGATTACCACTAGAAAACATGTTAATTGAATATAAATATAAAGGAATCAGACTTTGATTACAGCTGCAGATTAAAGTCTTCTCCCTTAGTTTTATATTGAAACGATGCTGTCTACCATGACTCCCTACTTTATTGGAGAATGTATTTTGGCACGTGCAGCACTATTTTCTCATGAAAAACAAGGACAGACAGAATCACAGAGGCTGCGTTGTGTTAGTTAGATCTTGTCCTGCAGTACAGTACTAATGTATTAAAAAGCAAGTGGTTTATTATGATAAATAATAGGCCTACAAAACAGAAAAATAACTTGACATATTCATATACAGAAATTAGTCACCGAGGCAGACCTACATACACCATCAAAGTTAAAGTTAAAGTCCCATTAGTTGTCACACACACAGGTGTGTGTGCGAAATTTATTCTCCGCATTTGACCCATCCCCTGGGGGAGCGGTGAGCTGCAGACAAGCCGCGCTCGGGAACTATTTGGTGGTTTAACCCCCCAATCCAACCCCTTAATGCTGAGTGTCAAGCAGGGAGGCATTGGGTCCCATTTTTTCAAAGTCTTTGGTATGACCTGATGAGGAGTCGAACCCCTGATCTCCCAGTCTCAGGGCGGACACTCTACCACTAGGCCACTGAGAAAGGTAATGGCCACTGAGAAAGGTAATCAAAGATCAAAGAAGAATACAACCTTTTTTGGAAAAAAAAATTAAAGGATTTAAGTACCTCTATCTGGTCATGTCTTAAAGAACATCCTAAGTCTAAGTCATCCATAATTAATGCCAAACGTACAACATATCTGAGCCGATGCCATTTTTTTTATGTGTTCCTCCATCGCAGGCTGCCCAATGTCTTCTTACAAGTAAAGAGAGCTGTGATTAGCCCAACCTACTCTTAGCCAATGGTGGACCAGCTGAGGCTATGGTGGAGCATGGCTAGACCAACCTGAAGAGCAAAATCTCTGCTACTGCAACTGTTTGTGTAGATTTCTAGGCTAGGTTTTTTTGCAGCAATGTTTCAGAAGACTGAATGTAAAAATTTTGAACAAATAAAAACGTGCAACTGTACAGTATTTTGATTTTCACAATCTTAAGGTGGGCATGTGACATTCAATTTATACACCTTTACCTTTACTTTCGTTAGAAGATTTTTAAAAACATGTATGTCGATGAATATTTGTAGTCATTGGTATGGATGAATATTTTGTTTTGATTGTGTGTATAAAGGTATGCATGCACAGAAACAAGTATGTGGCTGTGTGTTTTCAGGTTTTTCACTCACTGTTTCTTTATCCAGAGTGAGAGAGAGATTGAGAGAAAAAGGGAGGCAGAGACACAGAGTACAGCGCCCTCACTTATATAACGTTCATAGAAACTGTCCTATATCCCCTCCTACAACTGACATTTAGAGTGTGTACAAACAGTCAGAAGACTGCTTTATAGGGTTGGGCATCGAGCATCGATTGGAACCGGGACCAACTAATAGTATTTCCCAGAATCGTTCTGTAATGACAGAGTCAGTGAACAGG